TCAGCTTGATGTAAACAGACTCATCTCTAATGGGGACATCTCAACAAATACTGCGCTTAAGGTTTGTTGGTTTATTTATCCCTGATAACGCAGAATAATCTCTGATGGGCACAAATGTCACGTTCATGTGCTGTCTTATTACCTAGTCTGGTAGTTCTCAGTTAAACATTAAACGTAGTTAAAAAGCTTACCTTATGCGTCCATTCCTCCGGAGGTCTTCAAACACAACATCTCCTCATTCCACAATATGGCTTCAACATGCAAAAAAAAAAACTGAAAAAGTAAAGAAATTTAGCTTATGCCTCAGATCAGGTAACATCAACGCACTGATGCAAGCCTTTGGACAAACCTTTGAAATTACGGTAAACACAATTTTCCACTATTTACCTTTCACACGTGCAAGATGGCGGAGACGAACTGCGCCCGCAAAGATCAGAGGGAAAAAGCGGTTGGAAGACGGGAAGGAGAGGGAGAGGAGAGGGAGAGGGGCTGTCTGCGTAGCACGTGGAAGAGGTGGGGGAGGGCAAGCCGTCCCCAAAAACTGTGGATCACCAAATTCCACCATTATCAAAGAGTTTAAGATTTAGTTATTCAACAAGACACAAAAAACTTCGGCTCATCCTCTTGCGAACATTATAAATGTAGAACGCTTGTAGACTGCTTGTTTGTTTGATTTTAGGAAACTGTTGAAAGGAATACCATGAAAGTGCCAGCATCAAGTTTTGCGGCGCGTTTTTTTTCTTCCCCTAATAGGTTCAGATCTTGGGGAAAAAAATAAATGACCTTTTCAGTGTTTGCTGGGTTACATGGTATCCGCGCAGAGGCAACCGTATTCACAGGCTAGCTGCAATCCTGTTCACCTCCGGTATTCAGCCGCCTCCGTAAACCCACTAGATTGCGAATGTCAATTTTTCTCTATCAATCCGTTGAACAAAATTAACGGTACGACATGTGCGAACCACGAGTACAGTACCAGCTCCCACTAGCCCTCAACTCTCGACAACGGCCACTTTAAAAAACATAGCCTCCCTACAATTTTGGGCATAGATGGTCCCATACATACAGTCCCATGCATCTCGGGTGCGAACAGATGATCCCATAGTTCTCCGGCCAAGAGGAAGAACTAGAATACACATACTCCTAAAAACTCTATACCCCGGCTATTTATGACCAAAACGGCTGAAAAACCATACCCTTTGAGGCCGCATATACCTATATAGCCCATATAAGCCCGGTTCTCATATACAGCCGACCTGCCTGCGACGTAGTCGCCGGTTGCAACTGACAACGTTCGGCGATCTGTTCCAGTGGATCCGCGACGCTTCTGCGATGGATCGCCGACGAACTCAAATTGGCGCGAAATGCTTAATCCGCCATTTTGAAAGTCAGGACTTTTGGGTAAAATCAAGTTGTTACGTCATACGTTGCGTTCGCAGATCTCCGGTAGTCATTGCCTGGGACCAGGAGCCATAATCGGGGACGGAGACCGTAAGCGCGCGCCATTTCTAGTATTGGGCTGTCCCCATGATATATATTGGTTATTGACCAAGTGTGAGGTCAAGATGGCTGGATATTGACCAAGTTCTTTTTTTGCGAGTTTATGGACCGAGACGGAGTCGAGGTCCATAAACTTGCAAAAAAAGAACGAGGCCAATATCCAGCCATCTTGACCAAAC